TCTCTCTGTGGTAGATGCTCAGTTCTGGACTACACAAGCCTCCTAAGCTCAAAGAAACACTGCATTCTGCTGCAGTGACTCCAACAGCCATCCTGTCAGAGCTCCTGGAGTGTTATTCTTCAGATGACTGAGGAAAACATAAATATTAGAGGAAAGAAAAGGTGCTCTCTTACCTGAGCAGGGACCTTGGCTCTGGAGCAGCAAGTCCATTTGCTTCTCACACCTGGCCTTCTTCAGCTCACATTCGCTGGTGTATGTGTTCCCATCAGAGCCGCACACCTGCAAATGTTCACAGAGAGGTTAACCTGGCGCGATTAATGGATTTGACAAGATTTAGCACACGTTTTAACAAGTCAAATGCCCAGTGTTGGGAAGGTTACTTTGGAAATGTAATAGGTTACAGATTACAAGTTACCCTATTTAAAATGTAATAAGCCTTTTTCCAAAAGGTACATCTGGAAAAAGGGGGGTCGTCTTATAATCAGGGTCATCTTATATTCGGGCCAATACGGTAATGAGCAAAGGGCTGCTGCTGCTGCTTAACTAAGTAAACAAAGACAAAACTACAACAGTATATTTACAGATGAAACTGACGTGCAATTGAAACCCTGAACAGTAGTTTTACTTCTCTGCTCCATCTGTGCGCTTCCACAGTCCACTCCATTCTCTCTCTCGCATTGATTACTCTGATCCAAACCGTTTGGCGGAGGCGCGGAGAGTGCGCGAGCCGAAGCATTGCCAGTCACGACTAACCGATTCATGATTTATTAGAGATTTAATTATCGAATGGCGAATTCGGAAATAATCACTTTAGTACATTCGGCAGGCAATTATACAATAATAATATTAAAATAGCGGGGCAAATCGTCTGCCAGGCCACCTGGAATCCGCGTTAGGCTATAGGAATTCCGTTTTTATGACTGGATTCTACGAACCAGTCTGTGTTTTCCGCATCGCGGAAATTATAGGACCGTATGTCTCAGAGTAGTCAATGCAATTTGGGAAAGAAATCAATTAAATCTGTATGTGGATGTGTGTAAATATTCAAATGTAATCCCCTTTGTAACCGTTGACATTTTCATAAGTAACTGTTATTTAATTACACATTTTTTCTTAGTAACTGTAACTGTAACTGATTACAGTTACATTTATTTTGTAATTAAATTACGTAACGCCGTTACATGTAACTAGTTACTCCCCAACACTGCAAATGCCTGGGCGGCACTCTCTTCGATTGGAAATGGCGAGGTGTGTGAATGGACATACTGAGCTGCGCGGCACTGTCTGACAGTTGAAGTCACACACGCAGCGGTCATCCTCTGTGTCGTCATCCCATGATCCGCCGTATCGTCGACAACGATCCTGCTCGCAGGTTTCAGATCCTGAACCTGAGCCTCCTGAACCGCAGTCTGTTGGAACACAAACAAATACCCTTGATTGATTTGAACTGTCCATAAAATAAAAATCAATCATTATACTAATTCTAACTCAAACCCTTAACGCAAACATTTTTAAGTATAAAATGAGATTATTTAGTCTATTTATGGGTGGCTGATGCATAACTGTAAACATTTTCTTTTTTTTTTTTTGTCTCCATTAGTTTGTAAAAAAATCCTCTGATAAATACATTTTTAAAATAAAAAAAATTTTTTTAGTATAACAAATAAAATTGTTATACTAATTCTAACCCAAAACCCTTAAGTGTCTGGCATTTTTAATTCATAATTTTTAACCCGGCAAAACATTTTAGGAAAAAAATTTTATTTTTTACATTGTTAGAGCATTAAAAAAAATTTAATAATTTTTTAAAACTATTAATTAATTAATTATTATTAATTAAAAAAAAATGATATTTCATTCATAAGTTACGCTACATCATTGTTAGAGGACTAAATTTTTTTTTGTATAAAAAGACATGAATGAACATGCATAGGCAAAAACAATAGATTTTTTTTTTAATCACCAATACATTTTTAGTAGGATTTTTTTTTACCAAACTTTTGTATAAAGATAATTCTCAACTATGTTATAACAGAATGATTTGATATACCATTTTTCATAATGCAAAATGTGTGTAAAATGGTGTGTAAAATAAACAGGTTTTCTCATTATTCTCATTCTCATACATCTAATTTGCATATTAATGTGTTTTTGGGGCAACATGTAATGAAAAAAGAAGTGTAATAATGGGAGTAATAATTGACAAGATTTTCATAATAATATAGAATATTTAATAGGAATATTGAAATATAATTTCTTTCCCTATTAATTTGTTGTGTCTCCCAAAATGCGTAATGAACATGCTTTTAGTCCCGGCGTCCTCTACAGTGGACATGTATGAAATCAACGTCCTGTTTCGTAACAAAGTCATATTTTGATTTGAAACCCCATAACATTTTCCTGAGATGTTGATTTATGACACACAGTTTAAAAATTTGTCAGATTTAAATGATAATTACAAAATATTATCATATTTCCATAAGAGTGTCACTAAATTAAAATCATACATTTTTGAAGACCAAGGACAGGGAGTGTTCATGGTGAAACATCCAAACATTTAGTATCTCTGAAAAGCCCTGAATGTGCTCTGTACAGGACATCCAGACTTAAAACTGTGGCATGTATAGTCTCAGAGAAATTCACAAAAATATAATGTCCTCATATGAGGATGCAAGGTCCCAGGAGGTTAAATGCGAAATGAGATTATTTAGTCCATTTATGGGAGGTTGATGCATAAAATTTTTGTCTGCATAAAAATTTCTAAAGTTTTTCACCATTTTAATCATTTTTTTGTCTTTATTATTTCACGTAAAAAACTGTGATAAATAAATGTTTAAAAAGACAAATATTCCATCCATATCTTAATGAACATAAATTCATAAATGACATGTAATATATGCATAAAATTATCCATATTAAATATCCAAACCATTTGTCTAAATAAATGCAAAAAACAATAATACAACAACATTATACTGTAAAGTATAGTATGAAAAACGGATAGGACCTATTCATTCTGGAGACATAACCAGATATAACCAATAAATGGCCAACATCAAATTCTATAATATTTTGTCTAAATTTAAAAAAACAAACAAACAAACAAAAAACACTCTAAACACTTTAATTCAGTTTAATTGACTCAAAATTAAATAAAACACTAAAATAAATATTGCATTTCTTTTCAGATTTGCTAAGCATTATATTTAAAGGTGTTCTTAAATTATTAGTGTTTTTAAAAATGCACTTTGATGACCATTAGATAATGACAAAGGTAATCTAAATGTAAAAATGATGAGGTACCGACACATTGTGTCTTACAAACCCATACACAGTTGTTTGGGTGTTTGTCCACACAAAGAGCAGTAACCCATGCACAACCTCAATTTACACCATATAAAAGAACAAATAAAATCACTAACACTGATTTCAGGGAGATAAACAAGCAATCTCACATGAGACCTGGGATCTGAGCGTAAACAGCGGGTAAGTACTTTAGAAGTCACAAAGAGCAAAGACAAATAAGACACGCAGACACTGGGGACCTCATGCAAACACATATTTGCATATCAGTATGCCACACATTGTCTTCTAATAAAATAAAAATATTCCCAGGTACTCAAGTATCTTGTTTTAACTTTTGCTGCCAAGAATTAATGGACAGTGCTTGGCAAAGTATTCAGACATTCTGCGCATACTGAGATTTTCTTCACGTTGGAGTGAAGATTGAAGCAAAGGCACTGCTGGAAGAACAAGATAATGACCAGCAATGGAAATACCCAGCAACTAACAAAATAAATTAAACAAGACACCAGTGTGCCACCGGCAAAGTGTCTCCTACATTTCGATTAGAAGTGAAATAACGTCTCTGTTACGTATGTAACCCCCGTTCCTTGAAGGAGGGAACGGAGACGTCACGTCGGATGACCGACGAATTGGGATCTCGCTTAGAGAGACCAATCTACTTCGAGTGTAAACTAAACGAGCCAATGCACATTGGCATGCGATTATTGCATCCAGCTGCTGCTGATCACAGCGTGAGTATAAGTAGGCAGCAGATGAAGCGCATATTCAGGTTTTCGCTGAGGAGCCGAGCCGGTGACCCGGCCGCTCAGCGGTGGTACAGGAGCTGTGGCGACTGTGATACGCACTGGATCGTCCACAACCCCCCGTCCCCTCTGGGGACCCAGAAATAGAGGAATTACTCTTTGTCGAGTATTTGGGTACCACCGACCGAGAGGTCAGTTGCGGAAAAAGATGAAAAGATTCTCCGCCCGGCCCTCCTCCGGGGGAGGGAGTGGTGTGCTTACCATCTCCTGAAGAGCAAGTCCCTCCACCTCTGGGTCGCCCGTCTCCGGGCCTCTTGCTCTCTCGCTTGCCACCAGGTTTCGCTGTGATCAGCGGCAGCTGGATGCAATAATCGCATGCCAATGTGCATTGGCTCGTTTAGTTTACACTCGAAGTAGACTGGTCTCTCTAAGCGAGATCCCAATTCGTCGGTCATCCGACGTGACGTCGAGAGTGACCGACTGAAAGGGAACTGACAATCTGAAATCAATGTAAACGAGTGTTTCACGGCCATCATGCGTGACGTCAGTAATCACACTACATTATGTCGGGTGCAATTAGTCTCGGTGCGATTTCAGGGTTCGTTTCTCTGTGTGAAACCCCAACGGATAAATCTCGATTCTCTCCAGGATCCAAACTTTGGGGATTATGGGTGAGGAAATAGTGAGGGTTTTTCTTCAGATGAGTCGCCTCATTAAACACACTCTTATCTAGCCTATTTAATTAGAATTAAAGTTCATTAGTCAACAAAGCTGACTTGCTGGAGATATAAAGCACCACTCTTTGTAACAGAGCATTACCGTTTGTTATTTTTAATGAAAGTTGCCGAGCAGCTAATAAAAAGAGTGTAAAACTTGCTGCAGTTCATAACTGCGTGTTTGCCTTCATTAAGGAAAAAAAAAATGTATTTGCTGAGAAAAAATTCTATATCTATACATCTGTATCTATGCCTATATATATACTGTATATACAGTAGATGCTTTCTGAAGGATCATGTGACTGAAGAATGAAGTTGAAAGTTGAAGTCTGTTGAAAATTCCGCTTACCATCTCATAAATAAATAACATTTTAAAATATTCAGATAATCGATATTTATTTCAACTTGTAATAATATTTCGCAATTTTGAGGTAACTTCACAACTTTGTATTAATTTTTGGGGTCTTTTCTCTGCAGATTCTGATATATGCAATTAATTGCGATTAATCAGCCAGTTTATCATTAGCATTAGGGAAACACAAAATCCGCATGTCGATCGATTTGATTAATGAGGAAAAACCAAATGCCTGTGGATACTCTTTCCCACGTCTCTATTGCGAGTTAAACGCATTCTTTTCTTCACATGCAAAGCTGGGTAGGGCAACCTCGTGCACCCTGATGGGAAAATCGATTGTGTATAGGTGGAAATGCCACTAAGCATAAAAAATCTCCTTAAACAGATTATGAAGCCGGTCACAGTAAAGGCTAGGGGTTGGCCAGCACTGATACGTCTTATCAAAAATCCACACTGTCAGCCTTGCAGGGTCGATACTCGTGGAGGCCATTCAATTCATTAGCCCCAGCCTGGAAACAATGAAAGCACTCAAGCCTGAAGCCCTGGCCACAGTGATACAGAGAGCAAACGCACTCACTGTGTAGACATCAGGTTTCTGCTTCAGAGCATTAGCGATCCGACACTGTGATGAAGAGATTCAGTATTTTGCTTAATGTGAGCTGAGCTGAATTTACGCCTTAGGGCAGAGTCTTGTAAAGATCAGCCAAGAGACTCCAAGGGGAAAGAATGTTGCATTTGACTATGATTATTACAACCTTTCTCTTTTTTTTCACACCAATTGCCTATTATTATGGCACAGCAAACAGAGAAAACAGTTACAAACTGTCTGAAGCACAGGGGAAGCACAAAATGCTTCATGCTGCACATACTTTCACAACAAATACATTTAATAACTCAATAATAGGGGTGTGACGAGACACTAATCCCCCGAGACGAGACGAGACACGAGACTGGGTTCACGAGAACGAGACGAGATTTTTTGACTTTTTTAAAGAAATCCTCAATGATGAAATATATAGGAAAAAATAGTCTTTTATTCTTATTAATTAAAATCATGAAACTTATACATTTTCACATCAATTTATTAAAAAGTTTAACAAAAATGACATGTTTAGGGCCCTATGAAATGTTTTATTTTTTCTCACCATATTATTTATATTTTTTATTGTTACCAAATTCTGTGTTTTAGCATGTCTAATTATCTGAATGCATAAAACAACTTAATTTATTGATTTTTTTCTTAAAGTAGCCTTATGAATTTTTTTCCCCTCAGAAATTCTGTTGTATAT